CCCCTTATTTTGTGTTTTCCCAAGTTCCAGTTCTCCAGAGGCCAGCATGTAAAGTACGCTAAAGCTTGCTCCCTCACTTGTACAAAGTAATAGGACCCATCTTCACTATCCTCAAACAGATGATTAATTTTTGAATCCCATTCAAAACCATTCTCTTTGCCTTTGTCCATGGATCTGTTCTAGCCTACCTCTCTATTCATTTGTCTTTCTACTCCTCTGTCTCTTCTAGCAATGACTTCCTCTCAGTTCCTTCACATAATCTCATCATTAATCCTGAGTTTTATCTACATCACCTGCATTCTTGAACAACTTTCTTTTATCAGTTTTACTGTCTCTATCTATTTTCAAATCCCCTCTGAACGTATCTTTCTGCCTTGCGTGAAACTCTTATTTTTGCTTTTCCTCCACTGTTATTTTTTTCATTTTAACTTTGTAATTGTATCATTTAATTCTATAACATGCATTTTCTATTCGTTTGCATGAACTACACCATTATAAAAAGTTAATTTTGTAATATTGTGTACAGTCCATGTAAATGTAGACTGTGTTTTACTTTATACCTTAGGTCACTTTTTCTTAATTTAAATAATATCATTAACAAAGAAAAGTATTACAAAAGGCAAAGTTAAGTAAATTAGCAGACTGAGTTGTATAAACAAAGGTTTTTAAAAGTGTATTTAAAACAACCACTTGACCTCTAGTTTTCCCTTGCTCTGAAGCCTAGAATTAGAGAGGCACTGTGTTCTGGTCAATAGGGTACTGGACTGGGAGTAAGGAATCCTGGATTTTGTTCCCAGCTCTGACCTACTGTATGAAGACTTGGGCAAGTCACTTCACTTCTCTGAGTCTCTGTTTCCCTTCCCATCCTTTGTCTGTCCTGTTAGTTTAGTTTGTAAACTCTTTGGGACAGGGACTGTCTCTCACTATGTGTATGTACAGAGCCTAGCCTATCAGAATGGGCCCTGATTTCTGCTGAGGCATCTAGGTGCTGCAGAAGTATAAATAGTAGTAATAGGCTGCCAACATACACTTTCGGTGATTTATCTGAGGTCAGTCCAGACCTTTAATTTACTTATTTTTAATGGATGAATAGATCTAAAATGAAAAAGTATAAAAAAAAGCAAATAAATCTTCTCAGACTGCAGAATCTTCCAATCATCCTGTAATCTAAACTTTATTCTAGCTAACCTTGACTAAAACATAACTGCTACCAGTGATAAAGTATCTGTCACTTTCCAAGTAATTTCCCCCCAGAAACAGACTAAAATTATCTAAGATCAATTATTTTATTTTAAGCAAATCTTAATTTATGTATATTAAAATCTAAAAAACCCACAGAAATAAAATCCTAAGTACAAAGCTATCCTTGCAATTATAGAGAACAAAGAACTTCAATTAGAAGTAAAAACTTATCTTAATACACCTACTGTTGGCATTTGAAATGGTAACTAATTTTGAATAGACTATTCTTCTAGGACTTCACAATCTCAAAAGATTTGCCAGAAAATACTGATAATGAGCTAAGGTAGCAAGGTAAAATCACCTGAAAGTACCCTAATATTGTAAACAAACTGATGTGCATTATCAGTAATGTTTCTTGTTATTTCACCACCAGCAGCAACAGAAAAACTCTGCTTTTTGAGAGTAATAGGAGACATTAGTGGAAAGTTTAATAGACACAATTTTCTTCAAACTCTTTGCAATGAAGCTTGAAATCAAAACTTCAAAGAGTCGCATCTACAAAACCAACTAGATAAGAGCATTAGTAGAATTTCTTGAAAAAGCTATTTTCATTTCTTCTTTAAACTAGAGAGGCTTGCAGCATGGATATATGATCAATGAAGATAAAAATGAATCACACTTTTATATCAGTAACACAAATGCTGGCATCTCTTTTCAAATTATTTAAAAAAATGTTTACTCTAATTCCTGTGCCTTATGCACTAGGGACCCAATCCTGCAAATGCTTGTGCCCTAACTTAACTTTAAGCATGTGAGTAGTCCCATTCACTTTAGTGGTACTACTCAGGTGCTTACGTTACACAAGTGCATAAGTGTTTGCAGGATCAAGGCCTAAGTCCTCCACTTGGTGCTGAGTAGTAAGATGGTGTTTGGAGAGGCTTCTATATGCTACCACTGTGCATACTAAGTTCGCTGCTCTGTTAACTGATATTTGAAGAGTCTTCTAGTCAAGAAGTCTAGGAAGACTGTATTTTACATCCAAAGCTCTACAAAGGCAGGGGTTATCGAGTGCGACTGCTTCCTCGTTGTGTTTAAAGTTTGGGCCTTCAAGTATATGAGGGACTGCATCTCTGTCTCTCAGCTTCTTTCTGCTTATGCACAATTTCTAAAAAAAAGGCTCTAAAAAGTGATGGTTATGGAAGGCAGGGAGCACAGATCTGTATTTCTGATATATTCAAAGAACTACATTCACTGCTAAGTAACCTTTTGTTAGAGAAAGATATCACTTTTGATGCAAAATGATATTATTACTAGAATTATAACAATTCATTATTATAATTTAGATTAATACAAAGTTGCCTTTTTCTTTTCTGAATGTAAGGAGATATTTACAACAGTGTTCATGTATATGACACTTAGAGATTATAGTAGTTCACATTCTTCTATTTTTGCATGCAGACATTAAATAAGCATATAAACTAGACAAAGAAATTCATAGGAAAACTTTGCTTTCTGTCCACAGTTGATAGTCACTAAGATTCTCAGAGAAGATGACACCTACTTATCTATAAAATCATATTTATTTCCTACATTGTCTGTTTGCACAAATCCTGGAATGCAGCTTTATAAACTTTTATTTTTCTTCTAAAATTTTCATATTATTTTCCTTTATATAATGTTGGAAATATTTAAATAAATGCTATAGTGATTTGTGCCCTGCATAGTATATTTGGTAGGACTCTTTCATAGCAAGTTGTAAACATGATTACTATAGAAGGTTGTAAATGAAAGAACTATTTTGTCAGAAGACAAACAACAGTAGCCATCGCCAAGTATACAGGATACATCTTCTTTGTTTCAAGACACCCAGTCTGGCATTAATATGGTCCTTATCTTATTACATTTGGGAAATGTTTTATAGAAGTTATCTTCTTAAATCACGGTTCCACTTAAAGTGAAGTTATCTATTTATTCCTCAACTGCTTAACATTGTCTTAGCCTTGTATGAGTTTTTTATTTGCACTGTTTTGTATCTAAATGCAAGCATTTCATACAATGCCTCTGACAACATTGCTATAAGAATGTATGAATATTTTGTTTATAGAATCAAAAAACCTTACCATAACTTGTAACTAAAATAAGAATCCATTTGAATATAGTTATATTTATATTAAATGATTTATATTTATTGATTGGCTTCTGTTAAGAAACTGAATTAAATAGTTTTTGTTCAGATTCTTAGGACTTAGTTTATAAATGGATATAAAATAAGTGATCTTAACTGTTTAGATTACTTTGATAAATTAAACACAATTCACTGACTTTTCCTTTGTCCATTATAAAATGTTTTAGTTGTCTGGTATACTAAGGCAGGATTCGCTACTGATTTGGAGTAATAGTTTATTTCAGCCTTAATTTACCTGGGAAATGTGTTCTCCTAACCCCCCACAGCACAGCAGACCCTTAAAATTGTAATCTCTGCTGGAAGCTCTCCAAAAGACAGACATAAAAAAGAGACTGTAACTGAAATAACCATTGGCAATTGCTTGTTTATATTTCTTTTACTTTTTCTCTTTCATTTACCCCTTTATTAATAAATTAGTCATATTTTGCTTGACTTTAGCTCTAATGTCCCTAACACATAAAAAGGTCACATTCAAATAGTGGAGTTCATATCCTTGACTTGGTATTGAGAGAACCCATTTCTATGATATGGCCTACCATTGCTTGTTTCTCTACATAATAACATTTTAGTAATTTGCATAATAAAATTAGTTGGTGCTTAACACCTTAAAACACTGCTTTTTTTGCCACACTATTTCCCGTTTGTCAGTACAGACCCTCAGTTTTGGGAGGTTAATTAGCAGTAACAAAGAGGTGGTTCTGCTCTTCCAAATTAGGCATTATATCTGACTGCCAAGTCAAGAGAAAAATGCTGCATAAACATATTAATTTAATTACAGTTTGTAGAACCACTTATCTTGTTGACAGACATTTCTGAAATACGCAGAAGAGGCTGCTTTAGATGTGGCAAAATATATTTTGAAAACATTAGGTACTGCTATGTGTTCTGATATTGATTCTCCTTTTAACTTATCTCCATATGATTTACCTGGAATATGAGATCTGAAAATTCCACTGCTAGAACCAGGAAATCTGAGAACTAAGAGGAGCTAGTAAACACTGGGTCAGTTGGAGCTGGAGAAGGGGTCCCATAAATAATATCAGCCCCAAATATACGGTACCAGAAGCAAGTGTGCTTACAACTCCTACAAAATCTGTTTTCTCTGATTTGATACCAGTGGCACTTACAGATCCCAAGAATGGGACTTATACTGACAATATTCAAAGAAGAGCCTGTGATTTCCTATAAAACAGGTTGGTTTGATATTCTGAGACAGTATCTCAGCAAATTTCAGGAATCCCCTTCTTTCCTGTCCTGAAACAATCACATCAGTACTATTTGGTCTGCCATCAAAGAAGAATAACTTTAAAAGTAAGGCAAAATGTGTTAAATGATTTTTTCTATGTTTAAGCTATCAGTGTTATCACTGGTTTTGAAAAACAGCAGACACTTGACTGCTAACAGTGTTGCAAAAAGAGAAAAACAACAATCAAACAAAGCTTGAAGCTACATAAAAATCTTTTGAAAAATCAACCAAAAGACAAGCTCTTGTACACATATGCAATAAACATTTGGCTATGCATTATTCACAGGCACGTGGCTTGGCACATCAAATATGCATTTCATTTAAAAATGAATGATGATAGGGGTTTATACGGATTGATAATGAAATTACCCATAATAATAAACATACCAGTGTTTGCTGCATCAACAGTTTGTGATGTCTCTGTTGACAATTTCTGAAGGGCCTGTTCACCATCTGTCTCCTCCGGTGAGCTGTTATGTCGAGACTGCTGTTGTTCTTCAACTTCGACAATAAATGAAATTACACCTAAAACAAATAGGTACCAGATGTTATATTAACCAGGACATTAGTTTTATAAGATTGTCTGCCAGACTTATATTAATGTTGCTGCTGCTCTGAACTAATAAAATATGAGGCAAAATCTAAATTCCAGGTGTCAGCTATCCAATTATAATTGATTGTGAAAAAGAATACATCTTTGATGAGTTCAAGGAAATGAACCCTGCTTCCAAATTTTTTTTTCTTTCTTCAAAAGGATAATTATTTTAGCAGCTTACACAAAATAATTAAAGGCCAGTAATAAGGAATGTAGATAAATTATCAAAGCCCGCACCGCTTCCTGTAGCTCCCATTGGCTGGGAACGGCGAACCGCGGCCACTGGAAGCTGCGGGAGGCCATACCTGCGGACAGTCAATGTAAACAAACTGTCTTGCAGCCTGCCAGCGGATTACCCTGATGGGCTGCATGCGGCCCACGGGCTGCAGGTTGCCCACCGCTGGCTTAGAGTGTTGATGGACTCCGTGATTTTTTTTTTTTAATCACTGACCACAGTAATCTGGTTTTGCTGTTGCCATCCAATATACGTCATTGCTTTAATTTTCCTGAGCAATCATGTATGACTGTCATACAATTTTGGGATTGAACTTGTTTTGTAATGGAATATTTAGTGACTATTAAATACCCAGAGACTGCAAAATTAGGCTTTGTTTACTGCACTGGCAAATGCTGCACTGGCAAATGACCCATTCGATTAAAAATAAAGAATTTTATTTAATCTTAAAGAAAGTACTAGCTCCAATACATACATGGTTGCTTTACGCAATACTGATGACACTCCTAAACATTTGAAAGAGCAGCTTGGAAAGACCTAGGCTTTGTTACTTGCATTATGTGCCTCTAAATATGCACTTTAATCAACACATCTTCTTCAAAGGACTATATTTTCTTACTAATTGACTTTTGTCACACTCAGTATTTTATTAGATTCTAGAGATACTTAAAGCTGAAACAGGTCTACTAGTTGCACTTTTAGGTTCTGCACCAATTTTTCAACTTTCGACTTGGTACATCAATCAGCATATGGCATAAGGTTTTAAAATAGGTTTAATGTTTGCCTCTTGTACTTTCCATAAAAACAGTTTATTTTGTTGCATTTAGGCTTATTTTATAATACTCTATAATGAGACATTATACTCTTTAATACTCTTAGTGTTCATTTGAAATATGTTCCACAGGGAGCTTTTTTAATTGTATCTTATTAAGTGTTTGGTGCATTACCTAGCTGGGCAAAATATTCATGGTAAAATTTATTTTGATTGAGTTCTTTTAAAGTTCATGAAACATTTGGGAAATTGGGGCAGTTTTATAAAATTTCCAAAGAAATTTCATGAAAAAGATTTTTGACTATTACGATGTCTAACACCACTCTGTGGTACAATTCTGCATTTGTTTCTTTTCTTTTTTTCCCCCTCAAATTTTGAGCTGAGTTGGTTGGTTGTAATGGATCACATCAGCCAGATGATATTGGTCTGGTTCCCTGATTGAATGAGCTCACCTTGTTGTCAAGAGGTTTGGCTGAAGCCATTTTGATTCAGTTTCTCGGAGGGAGTAGCTGCATTTGTGTACTCTCTCTCAGCTAGCCAGAAAAAAATATATATTATCAGCTGCAGTGTGCTGCAGTCCTTACTACAGTATGTGTGGGGGAGTTAACTGCCCTTCAGCTCAAAAGTACTTCCCTTAATCACATGCTTCCTCAAATGGCTCCTGTCACTTGGTGCCTACTGCATTCTCATATAATTTTGGTGAGAATCAGTTTTAAATCAACAATGGCTTCACTCTTATGTTAATATTATTATACTAATAAGATGGTCAAGTGAAAGAATGAAAAAAGAAAAACAAAATATAGCTGTAAGTTTAATGGTGGCCCACTCAGCTGTAGTCATGAGAAACAGTACAGTCTCCAGAAGCAAAATAGTTCTGCTCTTTCTCCTCTGGTGTTTTGGCCTACTATGTTAGGTGGATTCCACATCACATTCAGCAGGTTTCACGTGCCAAGAAATAAAAAAAAATGACTTGCACTAAGATGCTGGGTTACTTTCAGTCTTTATACTGAAACGAAGCATATCAACTTCAAACTACTGTAGTCTCTTTTTCTGTGCTAGATAGCATCTGAACAGTACCACTATATTGAACCAAAATTGAAAACAATAAAAAGCAGACATGCATTTAAATGTAGAGGAATGGACCATTTTCTTTTTAATGTCAGGGTGTTAGTCTCCAGAACATAAGGGTTTCCCCTTTAAAGAATTCTATAACTCCCCACCACAAAAATCCATTTCTAAATACCTAATTTTACAGATTTCTGAAATTATACACACTATGAAACCTCTGGATACCACTTGAATAAATGGGAAGTTTTGCAAACACCAGGAAATGGAGAGTAATATAGAAAGTGGTCTTAATAGAGGTTAGGGGTATAATCAGGAAACAAAGAGATTCAATCAGCAAAAAAAGCAGGTTAATTAATGTGGGATAAAACAGTCAGGGCAGGGCAGTCCTACATTACCGCTTAAGTCAATCTACTTTACATCACTCATAGCACCAGTATGGACAGCGCAAATCTTAAACCGAATCAATGCATGATCACTCAATCCAAGGTTATTTCCTATGACCAGCTCTTCTATGATTCCTCACTACTTGCCAAAACCAAGTCTAAAATTGCATCAGCTATGGTTGGTTCGGTGACAATGTTATGAAGAAAACTGTCATCTAACACATCCAGGAATAACTGGGGCCGATCACTATTAGCAGTATTTATTCTTCACTCTACATATGGGAAGTTAAAGTCTCCCATCACAACACAAGTCCCAAAAGTATTTCTCTCTCTAATAACATAAAAAAAAATCTGTCTTTATCTGACCCTTGGGGTCAAAAGCAAATCCCAACACTATCCCATTAGGGCCTCTTTTACTATCTTTCTCCAAAGTGATTTTGTTCCAAAAGATTCTGTTTTGTCCAGACTATCGCTTTTCTTTACTATTCACCACTTCATTGATGCACAGCACTACTCCATCACCTTTACCTTTATTCCTCTCTCTCCTAAACAGCACATATGCTTCCATACCTGTATTCCAGTCATGAGTACTTAATCCCTATATGTGCTTTAACCTCCTGCACCAGTAGTTCCAGTTCCTTCATTTTTATTGTCCAGACTCCTTGCATTTATGTACAATCATTTTAGTTGTTTCTCTCAAACCTCATATGATTTTCTAGCCAGATTAAATTTAGTCCTTTCACTAACTGTAACAACCTACCTGACTCAATATTTGTATTTACTTTCGCCTTGCTGTCCATTCTCTTACCTTATAGTGTTTAGTATCCCTTGCTGTATCTCCTGTGTATTGAAGCCAGGTGTGGAGATTTCATGAGTCTCTCGCACCCATCTCCATTCATCTCCTAGTTTAAAGTCCTTCTGATCGATTGTGTGCCTGCCTTGATCCTATCATATTAATATCCCAGGTACTCAAGTGGAGTCCACCTGTAAAGAAGAGCCTTCTTTGTGTAAATGCCTCCCAGTGGTCCATCATCCCAAAATCATCTTCATAGCACCAGTACCTTGAGCCATCTGTTGGATCTTCATTATCTTTCCACATTTTGCCATCCTTCATTATTCTACTGAAAATCGCCTGAGCTTCCACTTCTTCAAGCATCTGACCCAGCTAGTGTAATCATCCTTGATCCACTCCAGTGGGAACCTAGCAGTGTAATTTGTCCTGGCCTGCAGCAGAATCAGCAGATTTTCACTGCTCCCATCAGGATCCTTTTCAGCCTTCCATCCACAACTCAGATCCTTGTTCCTGGCAGACAGTTCCTTCTTCTGTTCTCTAGATCTGGTGATAGGCTGCCGCCTGTCGACTCTTCTCAGTATAGAGTCCCTGGTCACCTAGACATGTCTCTTCCTGGTGTTGGTATGAATCTGTTTTATGTTCTCTCTCGCAATCCCCTGTACATCCTCATTTTTCCTTAGGCTCCAGTCCCTGGCCTTCAATATCTCTTCCTCTCTTCTACAAGCACTGGCTTCCCTTCTTTTTTCCCTTGCTACCCCATCATCTGCCTGTTTCTTCTCCTCCTCATCCCTTAGTGCAGCAAATATGTTACTCACCGTGATTTCATCACCACTAGTTGGTCTCTTCCTCTGCTTGGTCCTCGTGGTCACGTTCTTCCATGGGTCACCCTCCTTTTCTGGGAGTCTGCCTTCCTGGTCCTTTTGTTTGACAGGTGTCTGCAAATCTTGAGTTGTCTATACCACCATAGTCTGAATTCCATCATAGTCTCCAGCTGCAACTCTAATTCTTGAATCTTCTCTGTCTTTGAAAGAACGAATACTAAAATACTGGAGTGTGAATTTGATATTAGGTCTCCAGAGGTCAAAATGACAGTGTAGGTTAAATCTGAGGAGGCATCACGTTACAGAGCACAAACAGTGAAAGACAGACCATCCTACTGTAAGTACAAATCTGGAAGTCTCTATACCGGAAAGATGTCAAGAATTCTGAGCAAAATTCAGTGGGAGAAAAACATAAACATAATGTAAATGATAACGGGGTGTTTAGGATTCTTTATTGTGATTTATTTATGATTTATTAGATGCTAAATACAGTTACAGTTCCTCAGTCACCAAAGCAATTCTTCAGTTAAACCACCATCCTGGTTAAAAAGTGATGTGCAAGTACTGATTAGATAGTTATTTATTTATTTTATTATTTATCTATAACAAATGGAAAAATGGGGAGATTGACAGCAATGAGTACAAACTGGCAGCTAGTTAATAATCTATAGCCAGTAAGATTAATGACAATAAGAAGTTGTTCTTGAAATATAATCAGGAACAAATGAAATCTTAACAATGGCATAGGTCCAATACTAGATAAAGATGGTACAATTGTCAGTCATGCTGTAGAAAAGGCAGAAGTATTCAATAAATATTTCTGTTCTGTGTTTGGAAAGTAGCAGGATGATTTTTCAT